TCTCTGGCACATCCTAATTAAGCTCACTCCGGTCCTTCTTCTTCATCTTCTTCGGTTTTTCTTCTCCCGGGGCCCAGGTCGCCAAGATTGCGGCCGCGCGATGGTGAGCGGCAATCATTAGGCCAACGCCTGGACCGCCTCATCCGAGGCGACGGCTTCAGCGAGAAATGACGCAATCGGTTCGGACACAAACGTGCCCGCCATCAACGCGCGAGCGGTTGTCTTAGCATTGCCGTTGACATGTACTGCTTCCGCACGCCATGCCGCTGCGGAGCGCTGCCCCGCGCGCGCGCCACCGTCGACATGCGCGAGAAAATTAGCAACCCACGACAATTCAGCACCCTCTGGAAAAAACTTGTGCCCAAGACTTGAGTTCATCCACCGTATGGTGAACTAAATGATCAGCAACCCTATTGTAGTCGCGCAGGTGCCACGCAACTGCGTCGCCAATGTCTCGGGCAGGCCTCCACCCCCGGTCTAAAGGTGCGAGCAGATTCTGGGTGCCGCGCCCCAGGAGGGGTTTCAAAGAAGGGTTGGTCAACGCCGTTTGGCCGTTCACCGCCGCCGCTAGAGGTTGGCAGTCTGTAGTCGCAGCAAACCGTCCTCGCGCGCTGTCCCAACTGACTTCTGGGGCATCCTCACCGTGTCGGTCAGGCAGCGACTCAAGCGGATATGATGCTAATCTTCGGCGTTTCTCCCTCGGCGCATGCAATTCTGGACCCGCTGGAGGCGACGTGCCCGAGGATCGAAAAACCGGCAAATCCTCGCGCATCTGAACCTCGAACTCGGGGTATACAGGACATCCACTCAACCATGGATGAGCATGCGCCCCGCTTACTGCGCCACTCTGCACCGTAGACCTGCACGAAAGCATCTTCCCATTCGACGCGATGCCCGTAACCTGAATGTACGATGCCCTTCCTTCCCCCTCCGTTTCTCGCTGTAGATGTGCTTAGCTGTCTCCCACCATGGCCGGCTCCTCGCCGCCCTCGCCACGGGCAGGGGATTGCAGGCACCATCATGTGGAATGAGATTTGTCTCGCGCCATGCTGCTTTGAATGCATCTCGAAGCACGCGTCGGCGCAGAGGCCGCACGCCAGTCATCTGGAACCATCGCTCCAACAAGCGAGCCGTGCGGATCCTGAAACTAGATGGGCCCTCATCTGGTCGACGTCGGAATCCAAACATATTCCGGAGAAAACAAAACTCCCGTCGACGAAAGCGCACCAATACATGTTTTGAACGATGCCACGTCGAAGATCGGTGTGCTGCGCTGGCGGCCGGGCCAGTGGACCGCGCTTTCAGCTTGGCCGCAATGGAGCCGCATCTTTTGTAAGTGGCCGCATTGCTCCAATATTTACCCTCGGCCTTGCCCAACCTGTGCTGCAAGCTCGCGCGCGTGTCGCTTTCCTGGCTGATCAGGGCCCCAAGAACCTCCATCTCGTCGACGATCTAGCAAAACCTGAGCGCTGGCCGCATGAACCACGGGCTCCTCCACTAGTTTGCCGCCCAGTGCCCCGCGCGCCATGCGCTTGAGGGCCGATGCTTTCCAGCGCAGTCCCAATCCGGAAAAAAAACATCCGTGAGCGACTAAACCATTGCGCGACAAAGCCTGCCAACGAGTAAATATTGTCCGCCCAAATCAAATGCGCAACGTTCTGTGGGCCTCCACATCTCTGCGGAATCCTTGTCCTTCGGCCTTCCATTTGCTGTCCAAGCCAGCCAGGGCCCACTCTAACATCATGTTGAATACGACTGGTGTCTCCACCCCGCCTTGCCTCCCTCCTATCTCGAGGCCGAGACGGTTGCACGGCGTTGAACCTGGCAGCTCCATGGAGCATCGCATCCCGGTGACCTCCCTAAGAAGTGCCGCCGCCAGATCGCGTGGAAGACCTCGGCCAATCATAGTATCGAACACCTTCTCCCGGCGCATGGCGTCGAAAGCTATCTCTACGCCCGAGGAGCCATGAATAAGTGGCTAGCCCCACCTGCTGGCAAGAAATATGCACAGACGAACGATCGACACGACATCATCACAGGCATATCCCGCCTTGAAGCCAAACGCTGCTACCGAACTGGGCCAGGGGGCCCGTTTCGCAGAGGGTTGCAGCGATTGCACGTACCACCTGAAAGCAACATCCACCTTGCCAAGCCACCGAAACCCACCGAACGTAATAGGTATGGTGTTTGTTGGGAACCCCCAAAAAGTCGATCAGCTTCCAGCTAGGAGGATCAGCATAATACAAATCCCTAGACCTTTCTTTGAAAAAGCTGCTAGAAGAGGTGCACGCACAGAAAGGGCAACGCCCTGTACATCTCCAGTGGCTCGCCGCCGCTACCAGGATCAGTGCCTTTGCGAAGCTCACCACGAGCCGTCAACAAATCAAACGGTTTGATGCCTAGGCGCGCAAACCCGTCCATGCGGTTGTTAATACACACCTGCGACAGCATACGTAGCCGAGCCTGTTGGATAATTGACGTATTACCGACATCGCCGAACCTCTGCATGCCAAACTCTCTCAAATATTGCCCCCGCACCTTCCGATCAGCGGTACGGACCCCAAGTAAATTTAATGTCACGGGCACTTCCGATGAATTACCATTCCTCGACAGCATTCGCAAGCGTCGTTCATTACGTTGGCGTTTGGCTTTGCGTGCAGCCCTTCGAAAGTATCGTGCTCGTTCTCGTCGCTTGTCCTGAGTGGCAGTGGCAACGGCTTTTCGAGCTTGCTTCAGCTGACTGTTGATGTTATTGATCACCCTTCTCTCTCTCTCTCTCTCTCTCTCTCAACCCCACCGTGTGATATCTGATACCTACACCTGCCTCTATGATCGCGGCCTGGAAAGCAGGAAGCTGCGAATCCAGCGAGTTCACGACAAGCTGCCTGTACTCCTCCATGTTCTGCTCGTCGACAGGCGCCCACCCCCTGAACGACCTCTGCACCTCTATGCGGCAAGATCCCTGAGATTTGTTGGACATTTCCGCCCACACGGGCCGATGATCGGACCGCTTAAATATCTTATGATGGGGTCGTTATACCCACGCGTTTTTTTTATGGAATATGTTGCACCGATGTAATCGATTTGGGCTCTATGGGTTCGGCTGTCCCGTTTGTGTGTGTGTGTGTCCAGAAACGTCGTAGTTCAGGGGGCCCGTCACCAGGATCCCCGCCTTGTGGGAAAGTGTTCAACAAATGCAAACCCAGGGCCTCCATCCATGAACCAGCTGCTGTGACCTTTGCCACACTATGGCTCTCCCGCTGCTCAAGCACCGCATCTTCAGTGAGAGATCCCCCAAACGAAGGAATTTCACATTAGCGTCGACCCCAAGCAAAATCTCAAAGGACATGGACGAATACAAGTCGCGAGCTCGCTGGACGTACCTAGTCGTTTCCTCGAATACCCGGACCGCCCGCCCATCTTCCTCAATATGGTCAAAAATATGAGCTGTAAGTTAAATCGAATTCGAAATAACAGCACCGTACCAGTAAGCTCCAAAACCAACCTCCCTAAGCACCCGCATCCCGAGTCTAGGAAGAAGAAAAGCGCATTCACAATTCCCTGCAGCTAAAATGCTCTGGGCTGAATACGTGTAGCCATGCAAACCAGACCATGCAATAACCTCATGTAAAAAATGCGACAAAACCCCATCCGCAAATCGTCGAAACTGTTTGCAGACTTTCTTTGCAACATTTGCCCCTTTCTTGCAAGAGTTCCAAGACACAGCCGTAGCCCACCCGTTGGGAAGCTCACCAGGCGATCGCCCGGACCAGAAGGTCCGCAGCTCCGCTTCTGAGGCTCCGAGGGTACTCCCAAAATCACTGTGGATGGCAGCCTCGTTCCACCTCATCTCCCCTTCTCGTCCACCTCCCCCATGGTCCTCTCCCCGGCCGCTGTCTTCACCGAGATGCGAAAGTCTGGTGGACCCGAGTGGAACACCTGAGTCGTAGCGTCCATCGCCTTCGCGTTGCTCTCCAAGAAAGCCTTTGCCTTGCCACCAGCCTCAAACCTGCGTTGTTCTTCAGGCTCTTTCTGCACCGTGGTGAACAACTCTTTCCCGCTGATGTGATAAAAACTATCCTTGAGAATATCTCGGAATATGACTGCAACCTCTGTGGCGTACGGCGGTGTGACATGAACCATGAACTTGTGCACCTCAGCTCCCCGTAGTTCAGTATCCCCTACTTTGCCCTGCACCGCTGGTGGCAAATTAGCCTTAAACCGTGCCACGAGGTCTGCAGCCCGCTTTCTAGCAATGCCGTGTGTCTTCCGGTCCTTCCACTCGCAGAACCCACGGATAACGAAGTATGACAGGGTGAATCCGGAGAAGCCGCCAGTCGAAAGTGCCTCTTCAAGCTTGCTGATGCGGTCATCGGCCTTCTTCTGCCCAACCTCAACCTTCGCAATCCTGTCCGTAGCCCCTGGATGTCCCGCTTAAGCTCTGTACGTAAGGCCCAAACAGCTGCATCCGTATGACTGTTAATGCTGTTCTGCATCTGTACTGCCCACGCTGGCATCCCATCATAACTGGGCATCGCAAGAAAATGCACAAGAAGAAAGAAAGAACTCGAACGCGGGGGATTCGCGCGTGGGAGCGCTGAAAGTGGCAGTGGCGTGTGATATTCCTGGGTTGGCTTGAACCCTCTGGTCCTCCACCTCCAATCCCTACCTCTCCTGCCCGTCCTCCTTTGACTTTTGCCCTCCTCCTCTCTCCTCTCTCATCATCCTCCTGCTCCACCGCATTATTTGCACTCCTCTCTCATCATCTCTTTCCCCTGGGAGTCTTCCCGCTCCCAGGCTGCATGGCATTATCCTCCTCATCATGTTCTCTTGTTGCTCCTGGCCAACACGATCATCCCTATTACCCTCCTCTATCGTCATTATCTTCCTGCTGTTCACTCCTCTCTCCTCTCTGCTCTCTCCCCTCTGCTCTCTCCACTCATTTCTCCTGCTCTTGCTGCCGGAAGGGAGAAAGACCGCAGCCCACCCTGCTCCGGGACCTCGACATCCGCGCAGCTAATGGCGTCCTGCTCGTTGGCCTTCGCGACTCTCGACAATCTCTGCTCTCGACTCCGACCTGTCGCCCCGCCCCCTCCACCTCCCGCCCCTTCTCCCATCCTCTCCCATTCTTTCCCGTGCTCCTCCTCCTCCTCTTCTTCTTATAAGTATTAGTATTATTAGTATGTTTCTTCTTCTCCTGTTTTGATATGTTGATTTCTCCTCCTCCTCCTCCTCCTCTTACCCTTCTTCTTCTTATTCCTCTTCTTCTTATGTTTCTTATGCTTATTATTCTTATTATTCTTCTTATTCTTCTTTTTTTCTTCTTATTATTCTTCTTCTTCAGAATTATTTATTTTTCTGTTTTTGGTAGTTTGATCCCGCACCCCCTCCTCCACGCCTCGCCCCCCCTTCGCGCCCCTCGTCCTCGCCTCCTCCTCTCCGCTCCTGCGCCGAGGCCGTGCGCCGAGGCGCCCGGCTCCAAGGGGAGCCCCCCGGAGAGGCAGAGGGGCCGCGCGGAGGCCACGCGCGCGGGAGGGGCGCGGCGCGGGACCGGTGCCCCGTGGCGGCGGCGGGGTCCCCCCCGCCCTGCTCCACCAGCTCCTCCTCCTCCTCCTCCTCCTCCTCCTCCTCCTCCTCCTCCTCCTCCTCCTCCTCCTCCTCCTCCTCCCTCCTCCTCCTCCTCCTTCCTCCTCCTCCTCCTCCCTCCTCCTCCTCCTCCTCCTCCTCCTCCTCCTCCTCCTCCTGCTCCTCCCCCTCCTCCTCCTCCTCCTCCTCCTCCTCCTCCTCCTCCTCCTCCTCCTCCTCTCCTCCTCCTCCTCCTCCACCTCCTCCCTGCTCCTCCTCCTTTTCCTCCTCCTCCTTTTTCCTCCTCCTCCTCCTCCTCCTCCTCCTCCTCCTCCTCCTCCTCCTCCTCCCTCCCTCCTCCTCCTCCTCTCCTCCTCCCTCCTCCTCCTCCTCCTCCTCCTCCTCCTCCTCCTCTTCCTCCTCCTCCACCTCCTCCCTGCTCCTCCTCCTTTTCCTCCTCCTCCTTTTCCTCCTTTTCCTCCTCCTCCTCCTCCTCTCCTCCTCCTCCTCCTCCTCCCTCCTCCCTCCTCCTCTCCTCCTCCTCCTCTCTCCTCCTCTTCCTCTTCCTTTTCCTCCTCCTTCCTCCTCCCCTCCTCCTCCTCCTCCTCCTCCTCCTCCTCCTCCCTCCTCCTCCTCCTCCTTCCTTCCTCCTCCTCCTCCTCCTCCTCCTCCTCCTCCTCCTCCTCCTCCTCCTCCTCCTCCTCCTCCTCCTCCTCCCCCTCCTCTTCCTCCTCCTCCTCCTCCTCCTCCTCCTCCTCCTCCTCCATGTTGCCTTGTTGCCAGCGACTAAGGGGAGACCTCGCACTCCGAGGGCCCGCTGGCAGCTTAGCTACTGATGCGCTGTGGCGGGACTCCCGCAGCCTTCGCGCTCCCTTCTTGGGAGCGAGCGGCGAGAGAAGATGGCCAGCTTTGTAGCCCCTGTGGTAACAACCCTTTCAAAAGACAGTTGCGGGCCCCTCAGGCCTGTGCTGGTAGCGGGCTCACATACACTCTTTAATTTGAAGGACCTCGAATTACTCCATCCACCACACCTCGAGCAAAATGCGATCCCCGAAAAAAAAACATGCAGGTGGGGAATGTGGGCGTGGTGAAATCCCTGAGCCATATATTGGGTGCACGGCTTATCTAACCAGGGGGCCTTCTGCCCCGCGAACTGGTACCTGAAACAAATCCTGCACCTGAGCCCCTCTTTACAATCCTCCAAGACGTGTTTGGCATGTCCCCACTTACGGGTCGGCCTGGGTTGCTTGGGTCGAGGAGAGGAGGGAAACCTAAAGTCACCCCAGACTGCAACCTGGATGGTGGCGAGACGCCTAGAGACGAGCTGCATCTCAGCGTCTTCGGCATCGATGCTGTCAAGCACTGTCTGAGGAAGCTGGACGTGGGTGGCGGCGCCGTTGGCTACCTCATCCGCGAGCGAATTGGCCAAAAGGGCCCACGGCTGAATATTATACGTGTCCCAGCCCTCTTAGCTAGGATGGGACTTGATTTTGTGAAACTCAACGGGCCCATCATGGGCCTCGAAGGCGGTCCAAAAATCAAGCCATACATCGGGATCGGAACGTGGCTTCCACCTAGACCCCCTCAGAGCTCCCCGATGAACATAGTTGGAATCCACGGCCAAGGTAATCTCTCCCTGCACTTGGCGCAGGGCCTGGGTGGCGGCGTACAGCTCGCCGCGGTTGACCGTCTGCTTTCCTGGCAGGCTCCCTCGAAGCGTGCCTACTAGTTCGTAATCTGTGTCCAATACTGCTACCCCCCAGCCCACGCGCCTTTTTCGAGGATCTTGGTTGTGTGGGCCCCCCACTGGCGTCGGACCCGACCAAGAATTTGCCGTTCACCTGCATCCCTTGGAGAACGAACGTGCCCGTGGCGCGGTGGACTGGGGTGGGTGGGTTAACTTCAGCGAGTCCTGTGGTGAACTCGGCTGGCTGGAACGCGCGGCCCCACTTGATGGGGTATGACGGGATATGCTCCACTGCCCTCAAAACAAGATGATTAGAATCGAGAGTAGCCTCGTCGGTGCACTGCTGGAGCGCGGGACAGGTCCAGAAGCGGTGGAGGTCGTCCTCCTCTGGGGCGTCACACCTCGGGCACCTGGCTGAAACATCTGGCGTGCACGAGTGTAGTCGGCCGCACGTCCAAACTGAACCCTTGCTAATGATGCGGAGGGCTTTAGCACATGCTGGCGCCTCCTCTCTCCGAAACTTCTGGCAAATAACCTTATGACTGTAAACATCCACTCCTTCCTCAGCTCCTCCCCCAAGATAAACCTTCGACGCCCGAGACCAGATAGTTCGGGAGATGTGTTGGGAGAAAGCGTTGATGAACTCCTCCTGCCTCTTGAGGCCCCCAGGGGTGACAATGAAGCGCCTCTGATCTGGTAGGATCCATCCTCAAGGGCCCACGGGATACACGTCAAAGTCCAGGACGGTGGCGATAGTGGCCGAAAAAAAAGGAAACAACCTTGCTCCACCGAGACTTCCCTGCAAGCCTTTCTACTGTAGGAGCCCACCGCTTGTTGATAGCGGTGTGCAGCACTGAGTCCTGGTTGACCATGTCGAACCAGGCGGATAAAATCTGCATCGGCAAATAGTGAGCAGGATCCTCCTGCTCTTGTCCTTTCGGCGGCAGGGCGAAGCCCGTGGTAGTACAACCATACTTGGGAACATATCCAAGCCCACGGACAAGACGCCCCCGCACGTGCTTCAATTGCGTAGGGCATATTCCCTGGCCCTGGTGGCCCCAGAAGAGTTGTGGTTTGGCCCCAGTTGAGACCAGCCTCCGAGCCCGTTTGATATTCCTGGACAGGTTCTGGATCGAGGTGAGCCTCTTGAGCCCCTTGCCGAACCTGGCGTTCCTGGTAGCAATCCTGCGTCTCTTTCTAAGAGTGGTATCCAGCCCCAGATCCCGCCCAAATCCCACTCGTTCGAAGGCCCATCCATGAGAACCCAGCGTGGAGCAGATGGACTGACCGACAGACTTGACCGAGCTGATGATGCAGGACTTGGGGGAAAGCAGACAGCCTCTGGCTTGTAGGGCTTCTCCTCGGTATATGATGGCCTCTGGGACGTCCACTTGGAGCATCTTGTGGGATCCCCAGGCCCTGAGACGTAGGTCGTCCACCCACGTTCGAAACTTCAAATGAGGGAAGCGCCTGTGCATCTCGTCGAGTATATCGTACAAAAAGGCGCGAGCGAACGAGGTAGACTGTGAGCACCCCTGCAGCATGCTCTCTGTCGGGCAGATGGCGCTGGAGCAGCCGAGCGAGGATGTGAGCACCCGCGCGGCCGTGTGAACCATCATGCCGACAGCTCCTCCTCCTCCTCCTCCTCCTCCTCCTCCTCCTCCTCCTCCTCCTCCTCCTCCTCCTCCTCCTCCTCCCTTCCTCCTCCTCCTCCTCCTCCTCCTCCTCCTTATCCTCCTCCCCCTCCTCCTCCTCCTCCTCCTCCTCCACCTCCCTCCTCCTCCTCCTCCTCCTCCTCCTCCTCCTCCTCCTTCCTCCTCCTCCTCCTCCTCCTCCTCCTCCTCCTCCTCCTCCTCCCTCATCCCCCTCCTCCTCCTCCTCCTCCTCCTCCTTCTCCTCCTCCTCCACCCCTCCCTCCACCCCTCCCTCCACCCGTTCCGACAGCACGTGCCCAACCCCACCAGCGGATACAAGTTTGGACGCCCGGAATGGGTACGGAAAGAATGGGTACAATGCCCAACAGCAAATGTTGTCCCAAACCAGCAGCGGCCGCTGTTGGGCAGGCGGCGTTCTGCCTCGAATGGACACAGGCCGCGGCGGCGTGGACAGTGAGTCCTGTTCAACATGAACAGGAACTGCTGTTGGGCATTGTACCCATTCTTTCCGTACCCATTTAGGAGGAAGGCAGCGCTGCTCGGGCCGGGCGAAAGGGGGGGATAGCAAAGGAGTGGGTGAGAATCAGCTCACGTAGCTGATTTTCCTGGCGCCTCCCGGCGCTGGGAGGCGCCCATGTATCGATGGGCCCCTCGGTTGGGCCGAAACCAGCTGCATGCAGCAGATTTCGTAACCCCCCCTTTCCCAATCCCCCCCTTTCGTCCGGGCCCGAGCTGCGGGGGATGTCCCGCGCCCGTGCCTAGGGAGGCGCCGGGCTCGCCAGCCTCGTGGGCAAATTAATCTTGTCAACGCTTGCGGGGGAAGGCATGAACGATTCTTGCCCCGGTGCCGGTGCCGGTGCCGGTGCCGGTGCCGGTGCCGGTGCCGGTGCCGGTGCCGGTGCCGGTGCCGGTGCTGGTGCCGGTCCTGGTCTGCCCTGTGTTTAGTCAGAATCGAAAATCTATTTCTTGGATCCTCCTCCTCCTGGTCCTTCTCCTCCTCGTCCTCCTCCTCGTCGTCCTCTCCCTTTTCCTCCTCCTCGGCCTCCTCCGCCTTCTCCACGCAGTTCTTGGAGCCTCTTGGGGGCGTTCTTGGGGCCTCCTTGGGCTCTTCGGCAGGCCTTCGCCAGGCCGTGACGTTGACGACGACGACGACAGAAGACGGACGACGATGCGCATTTCTAGTGGCGCAAGGAGACGAACAATGCATGAACTCGGGGAAGCGTCGTCGTAGGCCTAACGTAAACTACCTGATGGGCCGGACCGCATAACATTCAATATCATAACCTAGCGTAGATGGCGTAGCATAGCATTGCACCGCATAGCATCGCATCACGCTGCATTAGTCTGGTGTCGCAACGGCTCGTGTACTTGTGCACAGACAAATGTTTGAGATATTCTTGACGCTTCGCGTATCCCCTCCAGACCATCCAGGAACGATCAGCAGGGGCGGCAGGACGCATGCAGTCGCGCAGCCGTCTTCGGGAAAACAAGCATCACAAATAGCTTCCCGCATTGAAGTTTAAGATGGAAATCGGTGCAAGCTACGATGGTGCTTCGATGAGGGGTGAGGGGTGTGTCGATGACTCGTAATGGCTGTTGCACTGATTTGAAACTCACGTGCGTTTCGAAACTTGGAGCCATATTGGGGCTCTCTTAGGGGTTCTCTTGGGGCCCTCTTGGGGCACTCCTGGAGCTCTGTCTTGGGGCTCTCTTGAGGTCCTCGTAGGGCCTTCGTGGAGCCCTCGCGGGGCTCTTTTGGGGCGTCTTGGGGCCCTCTTGGGGCTCTTTTGGGGGGTCAGGGGGCCTTTCTTGGGGCTCTTTTGGAATGCCTGAGGGGCTTCTTGGGGCCGTCTTGGACCCTTTCGCTCAAACATATGGGGGTCCTTCTTAATAATTCGGACACCCCCCCATCGGAGGCTCAAAAATGCCGTCCTGGGGTTCTCTTGGCCCGCTCTTGGAGCGCTCTTGGGCGCTCTCGGGGCCGTCTTGGGGTCCTGTTGGGCCCCTCGTGGGGCTATCTTGGACCGTCTTGGGGTCATCTTGAGGCCTCGAGGGCCCATCGGAAGCGAAAAAGCGAGAAGGTAAACAACATTGGTTGTCCTTAGGTGTTCGAAGGATTTGGGCCTCTTGGTGGGGTCTTCGGAGGCCTCGGACAGCACTTGAAACCTTCTTGGGGCCGTCTTGAAGCCTCTTCGACGTGCGTCGGAGGCTATCTTGACCCAACTGCTATCTTGGGCCATCTTGGAGGCCATCTCGCGCTCTCTGAGGCCCTCTTGGAGCCATCTTGGGCCATCTTGGGCGCTGCTATGGGTCGGGCCCCCCCCGTCCGAACGCATGTAGGGGAGGGGGGGGAAACCTCCCAAACATGGAAAAGAAGGAGGTTGGAACGAGAAACGCCCTAGACCACCTGCGCCCAGAGGGCTGGTGGGATTCTGTGTGGGTCCCCACCGTGGCCATTTGGGCTCAAACTTCTGGGGCGACCTTCCGCACTTGAGTTCTTGGCGTGTCCATCGCAACCATGTCAACTCAGGCCTTGCATGACGGAAGCAGCAGTCAACCTCTGTTCGGCGACGCCCAAGATTCTGCGCCATCAGTATTGGAATTCTACGATCGCATGGGCCTGGAGGTCATGACAGACACTCTAGTGGAGGATCTCGCCGGCGGTGACACGCTAGCCTACGACGCAGCGACGGTCAAGATGATCGAGAAAGCAAACAAGCAAGAAGAATACATCAACAACAAGAAGGACCCGAAGGGCCAGGGCACCCGCAAGGAGAAGCTGCCCAGCGATGCAAAGCACAGCCATGGCGTCGACGAGGGGAAGCACTTGGGCGCCGTCGACAAATCACAATGGATTCAATCCAAGAGAAGCCGTCATCATCCTACTACGCCTACGCTCCAGCAGCAGCAGCGCGTGCGCGAGATCCCACGGCCGAGCACGGCCCCAGTCGCGGCCAGGCAGGACAAGCAGAACGTGGCGAACGTCGTGGGCGGCCGGCGCGCAGAGGACATGGAGGGCAAGCAGGGCGCGAAGATGGAGAAGACCACTGCCGGTGGCCAGGAGAGCGCGAAGGAGAACGACGTGGGCGGCCAGGAGGACGTGAAGGGCATGAAGCGCAGCCGGGGCGGCCAGGGCGGCGCGGGCAGCGCGCAGGACGCCGCGGCCGCCGGTGGCCAGCCGGGAGGGTCGGTTCAGAAGGAGGCCGTCAAGGGCGACAACTGGGACCAGCTGGGCGCCAGCAAAATTGAGGAGATCCTCCCTTCAGACGACGAGGACAAGAAGCTCGCCCAAAAAACACACCAGGGCTTTTCTCTCCCCCGAGCCCACGAGGTCTTGGTTGAAGTCCAGCACGCGTACACGAGCATTGAGAAAGTCCCTGAGTTTGGCAAGAGCATCTTCGAGTCGATGACGAAATTCGCTGGCCCGCCTGAGGGGAAAGCAGCTGTCTTCACCATCACCTACAGGGCCGAAGTACGGAATAATGATTAGGCCGACATGTTTTTTCGCAGTGACAGCGTAGTGCTAGCGCCAATGCATCACCATTTCAAGTGGGAGACATTGATCCAACTCAATGAATAGTGTATCATTCGTTGTGGGCCCATGGTAGGGGGTTCAAGCCAGTTCAAGCCCGCTCGGACAACATTGGTAGTTGCCTTTACGAAATCCGAGACATCAAGCGAATCGCCCGCCTGGAATAGGATAGAGTACGAACTAGGTTTACTACGGCAGACCAAGATAGACATGGTAACCAAAGTGAACTAGATTAGAATAGAGTTGTGGAGAATACTCTTGGGCATCGCGAGCTCCTGGGAGATCCAGCAGAGTGCAATCTAACAGGGATCCAAACGGGACTCCTCCTCCTCCTCCTCCTCCTCCACCTCCTCCTCCTCCTCCTACCTCCTCCCCCCTCCTCTCCCTCGACCCCCTGCCCCTGAGAGCAGCGAGGTCAGATCCACTGGCACGGGCCGCCCCCAGAGCTTCTCCTCCGCACTACTTCCCTGGGGCAGAGTCGCCCTTGCTGTGGATCCCGCATTGTCGCCGAGCCATCCGAACCATCCTGACCAGTATCTCGTGCCAGCTGCGTCGGCGAGAAGACCCCCAAAGGCGTCCAGTCGCAGCGGCGAGGGCGACGCCTGACGCACAGCCATTTTGGCTCAGCATGTTATGGCCTCCGCCCTTGGCAAGAAAGAGGCTGCCGTCGTCGCCCTGCCGAGGCCCGGGCCTCGGCGGCCTCGATCTCCTC